CTGCGTGGCATCCACCCTGCCCCCGCCCACGCCGCTTCCCGCACCCCTTATCCATTCTGCTTTGGTCCTGTGCGCGCGCCCCACAGCTCGACCTGAACCTCCCTTTGAAGGACAACACCCTGAAAATTCGGGCCCAGAGCGCCCAGAGTGTGCCCTGTGTACCTCAAAGTCGCATTCCCCGAACCTCCAAGCCACCTTTGGGAGGGCTGAGTGGGGAAGGGGTGGGTGTGATTTTCCAAAGACTCCTACTTTGGATGTTCCCAGAGAAGCAACTCAGAAGGCATCTGAGTCTTCTAGGGTGACCCCAGGTACCCGGCTTATCCATGCACACTGCACCCAGGCCGTCTGGTGCCTTAGCTGAGGACACTTTCCCCTGGGCCCACCCAGCAGCAGCTGCAGCTGTCCCCCTCTGCAGCACTGGCCAGACCCCAAGTCACAGCAGAGCAAGCGAAATGGCAGGTTTAAACGTAAAGGCTAGGAAGGGTGAGGTGCAGGAGGGCAAGTCACCCCTTCCAGTTTGCCTGGGGCCCCAGGCGGATCCCCCAGTAGGCAAGGTGAGCAGGGCCTTAACTGGTACTGACCGACTAGTCTGAACTGAACAATTCCATGTGTTTTTCACCAGAGCATCAGTAAACTCCAGCTGGCCTGCCTTACTGGGTACTCCATCCCTCCGGGCTGGACATCCTGAGCAGGAAACAGACGCAGCTGGACCACATGACCCTGCTCAGAGAGCTGGCACCCACTCCACACAGCAGACGTCGGCACAAAACACCGCTCACACGGGGTCTCATGATCTTCCTCGAGTGAGTCTGTAGTCACTAAAATTTCTGCTGTGAATGTCTGCAAAACTATGAACGACTTCCATCCAGTCGATTCTGACTCAGAGTCCCCACAGGACTGAGTAAAAGAACTGCCTCATAGAGCTTCCAAGCGGAACGCTTTGGGGAAGCGGGCTGCCACATCTTTCTCCTAAAGCGCAGCTAGTGGTTCAGATCTCCAACCTTTCAGTGAGCAGGGGAGCGCTTAACCACTGTGCCACTAGCGCTCCTTTCTCCACGTATGCAACATATAAATACCTTTGGTAAACAGCAAAACTAAATGCCACCAGGCATCAAAGAAGAAAATCCTATCTTTGAGAATGAGGGACAGTGCAGAGTGGGAACCCAAAGCCCATCTGTAGGCAACTGGACATCCCCTTACAGAAGGGTCACAGGGAGGAGCCGAGCCAGTCAGGGTGCAGTGTAGCAACGATGAAACATACAACTTTCCTCTAGTTCTTAAATGCTTCCTCTCCACCCATTATTATGATCCCAATTCTACCTTACAAGTCTGGCTAGACCAGAGGATGTTCACTGGTACGGATAGGAACTGGAAACACAGGGAATCCAGGACAGATGATCCCTTCAGGACCAGTGGTGAGCGTGACGATTACCAGGAGGGTGGAGGGAGTGGAGGGTAGAAAGGAGGAACCGATTACAAGGATCTACATATAACCCCCTCCCTGGGGGATGGACAACAGAAAAGTGGGTGAAGGGAGACATCAGACAGTGTAAGACATGACAAAATAATAATAATTTATAAATGATCAAGAGAGGCCAGCCAGGGAGACAAGCGGAGTGGGGCAGGAGGGGAAAACTGATGAGGAGCTGATACCAAGGGCTCAAGTAGAAAGCAAATGTTTTGAGAATGATGAGGGCAACACATGTACAAATGTGTTTGACACAAAGGATGTATCTATGGATTGTGATAAGAGTTGTACGAGCCCCCAATAAAATGATTAAAAAACAAACCAACAAATAAATGCCACCAAAACAGCCCCCTAGCTCATGCACAAAGACATGTCTCTTTGGGTCCACTCCCCACCCAGAACCCCCACCCCGCCTGCCAAACACCAGCTGCCTTGGTTCCCCTGACCGCCTGGCCATACCACGGGGCCCAGACTGAGGCTGCCTGGAGGGAAATTTGAGAAAATCACCTTCCTGGGTTGTTTTTCGAGTGACCTTTTCATCCCCGTGAAGGCAGGCAGGCTGCATCCCTTTCTCTGCCTGCGGCTCCTCCCTCCCATCCCCTTTTGTTTGGTGCCCAGAGAGAGACTGGGCTGTTTCTAGCCATCAGACGGTTTTTACACATTAGTAAATCTTCGCTTCGTGAGACGTTCCCTCTGCCTTTGTCTTTGTGTCCTTAATGGTCGCCATAAATTACCGCCTTCTTTTCTCTGGGCTGCACCAGCCCGCATGGCTTTTGAAATGATCAAAGTTATTTTCTTTAAAATCCAAGGAGGAACTGCCCATTGTGCTCAGCAGACCTCTCCTGCTCCAGTCTAGGCATCTACATACATAAAGCTGCCCATGAAACTCCGGGGTCGCCTCTTCCACGCCCCTTTGGCCGAGTTCAGAAATAAGACACCGGCTGTTCTAGCCCTTCTATCTTGGTAAGGATACAAATTTATAATGATAAGACCTCTTAGTGCCTTTTTTTTTTTGCCTGAGAGCATCAGTTTTGTCAAGTTTTCCAGAAAAAGTTTCACCTCTGGCGCAGATGTCAAAACATATTCTGAATCCTCTTTCATTTGCCCTGACGTCTATACAAGCCTGCTTTCATCAGATCAGTTCCCAGACTCCAGGGCAACCTCTGTGACACTTCAGATTCGAGTCAGTATGGTTTACAATGGGAATTTCCATCAGGGAAGGGTTCCAGGGGGCAAAGTATGCCCAAACAGAATGTTTCCAGTGTTCAGTGTCAGGATGGACCTGGTTTTCCCTATGTTCATTAGTGCCTGCTCTCTATTGTCCAGCCAATGTCCCCATAAACATCTCAGAAAGGCCACAGGCACCATCTCTGAACTAAGGCTAATTAGTACCCTCTCCGCCCCCTGCTCCCTCCCTGGCCACGGCAACCCAGACTCCCTGTTGAGAGGTTCTGGCAAGGCTGGAGAAAGACTATGGGAGCTGAATGTGCTGGGGGTCCCTGAACTATATATGACCTAGGTAAACGTGTCCCATGCACTGCATGCTTTCCAGTGCTAATCTTTCTTACCCTACAGCCTCTCAAGAGTCTTTGAAGTGGTGACTACTTCGTTTGGAAATTCTCTGCGTGGTTCCATCCCAGTCTGATGCCCAATGGCTTCTCCAGCCTCTCGGAAAAGCCATCTTCTTGAGATCCTCTTTTTCCACCCTCTCCTTGGATGACTCACTCGAGCCTCTGATTCCCAACTAGGAAGCTCTAGTCTGGATCACGGCCCTTGGCTACTGGATATGCTCCCCTCAGCCTCCCACGGACACCTCAGTTCAACGTGTCCAAAAGAGAATGCATCTTCCCCTCTGCAACCCACCCATTCGAAATCCTCCCTCTTCTGCAGAAGGGCATCACCATTCCACCAACGCCAAGTCAGAGACCTGCTGCCCTCGTAACACCTCTCGGAACCCTTCCCTCTCTCCACGCCTGCTGCCTAAGCTCGAGGTCCTCATTCCCCTTCCCTTAGTCTGCGACTCCCCTCGTCTCCCTGGCTGGCCTCTCATCCCCCTTCGTGCCTCTTCCATACTCTTGCACAGAAGCTGCAAATCTCTTCACTTCACTGTCTGGCCTCCCCGGGCTAAAAGCAAAACTCCCTGCAGGCAACCAACCCCTCTTGGGAACTGTATCCACCAAAGCACAAGATGCACCTGTCCATTTGTGATGGAGACCCAGGGGCAATGGGCACATTTGTTCACCCGAAGACATGTAC